CAGTAAGGGGATCCCACCTCAACCCCCTCTGGTGTGGGACCATAGAGTGGACTGGTAGTAAGATTTTTCTGGGGGGGAGGGGAGGAGACACATCAGGCACCAGGGTGGCATTGGTGCCTGCCTCGGGGTCCTGGGAGAAAGGACTTGGTTGGGGGGGGTCTCCTGAGTGCACAGGGGGGCTGGGTGTTGTGGCTGGGGTGCCAGGGGTGCCAGAGGAGGGAGGGGTGCCAGTGGCAGGGGCACCCCTCTCGCCAGTGGGACCCACGGATGCCCTCCTTGCCTGGCCCATGGAGCACTCATGATGCAAGTGCCCCAGGGCATGGCACTGGAAGCACCACAGGTCCCCCAGCATATAAAACACCTTCATCAGGGCTCCCTGAAAAGGAATCACAAGGCACCCCTTGGCATCCAGCTGCACCACCCCCCAGCTAGCTCATGACCTGGCGGCGGAATGAGCGCATGTGGTGGAGGCCAGAGATTCAGCACCCCAGCAAGAGGGTTTGGAGCTGGGGAAGCAGGGCTCAGTTAGGGACATAGGGTGGGATGGAGCTGAGGATCCTCCAGGTTCCCAACTCTTCTAGGGGCTCAAGGGGGATGTACTCGCCCTCCACCACAAGTCCCCTCTCCACCGCCTTTTGCATGGTGACCTCTGAAGCAAGGAAAAAAACCCTTGCCATGAAAGCAGGAGGCTGCCACAATCTTGGTGGCCCCCACCACCTGAGCCAGGACCTGCAACTAGGTCTCAAAGTGCAGGTTCTCCTGCTTAGGTAGTTGGCACTTCGCCCCAGGCCTGCGGGTGAGTGCCAGAAAGGGAGCCCCATCACCTGAGCTGGAAGGGATGGCAGTGGAGGATCCAGGCCCCATGGCTGCAGGCCGCCTTGCAGCCACCTGTGTATAGCTGCGGTTCCCCTGCTGGGGGGCCTCCTTGGTGGGGCCAGGGCTAGGGCTAGGGACAGGCTGAGAGGGTGTGTTTGTTGGTGCTGGCCCCAGCAGTTGGCAGGTGCTGGCCCCACCTGTGCTGTCCCCAGCAGTATAAGAAGCTGTTGGCCAGCAGCTTGGGGCTATTTGTTCTTAGGACCTCCTGAGGGCAGTTGGCCACACCCCTTCCTGCCTCAGGCTGCTGCTCCTGCTGCTGTTGCCACCCCCATGGTGGTGTGAGGAAGCATTACAACCAATCAGATTTTCATAGATTTCATAGATATTAGGACTGGAAGGGACCTCGGAAGATCATCAAGTCCAGCCCCCTGCCCCAGGGACAGGAAGTCAGCAGCGGTCATAGGATCCCAGCAAGACAAACATCCAACTGTCTCTTGAAGGTACTTTGAACGCTGGCTGGAGATCTGGGTGGAGCTGGCCAGGGTCAGTCTGCCCCAAGTGACACAACTTGCCCCACACCAAAGTGCAAATCCCTGGCACAAGTTTGTTACTGCTGTTATTTGAGCTGCTGCAAGTGCATATGCCTACACGTGTGGCTGCACCCAGACAGGCTAAAAACTTGCCCAAACTAAAAAATGAACAGATAACAGAGCAGGGAACTTCACCCAGGAGTCCTAACTGCCAGGTAAATGCCCTAAACATAGGGTCTCCCTTTTGCCCAAATGGAAACTAGGTATGGTACAGCAAGGGAGGAATGAGTGTATACAGCTTTATCACAGCTGAATAGGACTTTCTATTACCAAAGAGGCAGCCATTATTCTAGAGAGTGCTGGCACAGGAATGAACTGTCTTCCTTGGCACTCCAGACCAGCCAAACATGGGTTTCTCTCCAAAAAGAACATTGCCTAGTAATGACAATGACAAAAATCGAGTCAGTCAGATTCCCAAATATTGTGAGATAGGCAATGAAATCATTATAGTTTCTGAAAATAGTATATTGCTGTATTAGCCATTTGATTTTTGATTTCATCCTGCATAGCCACACCATTCAGTTAGGGTGATTCTGGTATCCCACGGCAAGAGGTCTCTCACTGGCTGCTTGATGGGAGGGCATGTCCAATTGGTTCACAGACTCCAGAATTCTCAAATTCTGTGAAACTCTCAGCACCCCCTGACCTCCCAGCAAGTCCCTTCTCCTCCAGCTTCACATCTACACAGGAGCACTGCCCACTTCTCCCAAGTCGGGGGAGGCTTCAGCAATATGAGATCTTTTTCCCCATTCCCAAGCCTGGTGTCAGTGCAACTACAAGGGACTTTTGCCTCCTTTTCTTTCCCAAACCTGGTATTATATGAATGGGAAGAATAGGGACGGTCAGGAGGAAGGGGAGAAAGCAGACCAACCCATTATGGAGGTATGGGGAAAGGGAAGGGGAGAGCAGACCTTTCCCAAGATGCTGGGCTTTTTCTAGCTTTTAGCTTTGTATGTGTCATTTGCTCATTGTCTTTCTCTCCTCTCCCTCCAAAAAACTCCTCTTGGCTCCTGAAAAGAGGAGGAGACAGCTGTGCCAGCTACCTACAAGCAACTCTGATTGCCTGTTTTTTTCTAGAAGGTGGGCAAATGGGGAGGCAGCCAATCAGAAGTTTTACCTCAGACAAGGCTGGAATTCCAGGGAGCTTCTTTTTCACAAAGACTGGCAGCAGCCACAACCTGAGTTGTGTCAGTTTTGCTCCCATACCCAAAAGGAAGGAGGGGTGTGGGTAAGAGGGAGGACAGTAGGAAGAAGAGAAAGGCTACAGTTGCTTCTTTCCATTAGTACTCGTCAGGTACTATGTGTAGTGTCACCAATATAGAAAATATCTGAATCTGGGATCAGGACGAGATTGCTAGATTCATTTTAGTGCTGATCTGATGTGCATTTTACATGTATACGTAAGGGCATGGCAGGTAATTCGCCAATTGTTGTACTGCACCTCCCCAGTGCCTCTACTCCAAACCCGAAAAATAATTCAGAATCCTAACTTGAGGGAGTACTACTAGTGGGTGCATTTACAAGCTCAATTAATGCACATTAAGGTTACTGGGCATTAAAATCAAGTCCAGGGCACAGTAAACCAAGCCCAGGAACATGTCTACATTTGCTCATGTCAAGAGCCAGTTTGCTCTCAGGTAGTTGAGTCCAGAGCTGCTCCTGCCCCCCTGCCCTGCCCTGTCCCCCTGAAGCAACTAGAGGGATCTCTGGTTCCAGGCTGCCAGGGGGGGCCCTGATAACAGTCCCAGGCTGACAAGGGGTACAGGGGTCAGGCTTGGGCTCTGGGGAGCAGGGCATAGGTGCCCCAGAGAGGGGGACAGCTCGCAGCCACATGGGGGTCAGGACTGCAGCCCAGCTCAGTGGCACTGGCTTGGGGCAATGCCCTGTGATTGAGTGGCAGCAGCACCCTGAGCTCTCCTCTCACTTTGCTTGCTGAGGGGACAGGGGAGCTCTCTGTCTTGAGTCCTGGCACTGCTCAGCTCCTGACTCCCCCCAGGAGTCGAGAGCTGAGTAGCACCTGGATGGGGCCAGGGACAGAGAGGTTCCCTGCCCCCTCAGTCCTGCCGCTGCCTGCACAGTGCATGCCCCAGTTGGGTATCTTGCCCCTAGCCCCAGTGCTGCTTATCTCCCCATGTCTCTCCCCAGGCCCAGTGCTGGATTGAATACAGGCCAAGAGAAAGAAGAGGTTTTTCTCTTTTGTCCCCTGGCATCATTCTTATGCCTGGCTCTCCTCTGGCATGGACAGGGAGTGGGAGCTGACTGGGGTGTGTGCTGCACAGGGAGCAACAGGGCTGAGGGGTTGGAGAAACTTTCTGTCTCTGGCCCTGTGCTGCAAGGACAGAGAGCAATCCTGTCCTGGCACTACAGTGGGGAGCCAGGAGCTGAGCAGTACTGGGACTGGGGACAGAGAGCTCCCCCATCCCCTCAGTAAATAAAGGGAAGGGAGAGCTCAGGGCACTGCTACTGCTTGACCAGGGGACATGGCCCCAAACCAGTGCCACTGAGCTGGGCTGCGATCCCGAGCTCCACACCAAGGCCACAGATAGCTCCGCCCCTACCCTCTCTGGCCCCCTGTTGCCTAGGATGACCAGGAGCTAATTGCTCCCATTCAGTGTCTACACACGTGCTACTGCGCAGTAGCTAACGCATCATTAATCTAGTACCTGTATTTGTTGGTACTAGCAAACAGTGCATTGGCCTAATTTACTGCGCAGTAAGTCCTGCATACATGTAGATGCTGATGCTTTACTGAGTGTTAGATTAGTTTAATGTGCAGCAAAGTATTTCATGTAGATGCACTCAGTGTTGACCATTTTCATAATCTATATAAGCATTAAACTGTGCATTCTAAGGATACTATTTTGTTCTTTAAGCTTTTCAGTTGTGTGTAGTGTTAGAAACTTTCAAACCACAGCATTATAAAAAAATCTCAATTTAGCAATAGTAACTTCTACAAAATTCTGCATGAGTTTGCCTTGGGTCCTGTACTGTTCACTATTTTAATTAATGACTTGGATGTTAAAACACAGAATACACTTACAAAAGTTGCAGAGGATTTCAAGCTGGGAAAGGCTGCAAGCACTTGGGAGGGCAGAACTGAAATTCAAAATGATCTTGGAAAATTTGAAAAATAGTCAGGAATAAACTGAATGCAATTCTATAAGGGCAAGTGTAAAGTGTTACATTTAGTTAGGAATAACCAACTGCACATATACAAAATGAGGAGTGAAGTTATTCTTCCTGCAGAAAAGTGTCTGGGAGCAATGAGTCAATAATCTCATACTGATGCAAAAGCTTCAAGCCCCATATTGGGTTCTAGGCAGGAGCGCCATATGTAACATGCATAAAAGAATCTTTCCATTCTACTCAGCACTGGCAAGCCCTCAGCTGGAACACAGTGTCCACTTTTTGGCATCACAGTTTAAGAAATTTGTGAATCAATTGGGGACAGTCTAGAAGGGAGCAAGAGAAGCAATCAGCAGTCTAGAGGAACAGATCTTTAAGGAAAGATTGAAAGAACTTCATTTTTAAAAAAATGTTAGCGCAAAGATAAAGATTATAAACTGTTCTTCATGTCCACTGGAAATAGGGCAAGAAGTAAAGGGTGTAAATTGCACCGAAGGAAATTTATTTTAGACATTTAGGAAAAGCAACTTTCCAACTCTAAGGTTAGTTAAGCACTGAAATAGATTATTTAGACGACTTGTCCATGAATCTCCATCACTGAAGGCTTTTAAGAACAAGCAAAGGTTTAGGTAGACTGTAAAGTAGGTTAGGTAGACTACATGACTTCTCAAGGTCTATTCCAACCCTATGTCTTTTACTCTATCATGTAACTTGTTTCAGTGATTAACGATAGTTAATAAGCAGTTATATACTGCAGAAATACTTTCCACTCAAGTATCCAGCATGCTTTCTTGTACATCCAGTGCATCTTAGAATCATTAGTGGTCAAATTCCCAGACTCCTCCAAGCCCCACTTGGTAATCTAAGCATCGTTTAAAAGGACTCCTTTACAACTGAAATCAGAGCATGAAGCTGTTGTCTCAACATTCAACAACCCACACTGCAGCTTTGAGGTTGCTCACTATTTACCATGTGAGGGGATTTTGGACAGTGGATTCCATAGTTCTTGGCCTCTCTGATGCACAGGCGGATTAACTCCTGGGCCCATGGGGCCCTCTGGGTGCCTGGGGTTCCTCAGGAAACAGCGGGTTTCGCTTTGCAGGTGGGCAGCATCCTAGCTTGCAAGGGGTCCTGCTTGGGGCTGCTGGGAGCAAGACGTAGGGGGTGCCATGTGCATGTGCATGGCCGCACACATTCACATGGCTAGGAACACAGCTGGGCAGCATGGAGAGCAACTTCCTGCAGGTAAGTATATGGAGGGAAAGGGACATGGGGGAAGGAAAGGACATGGGGGACAGATCAAGGCCCTCATAGTGAGGGAGGGAGGGGGGCAGGGGTGCTGCCCAGCCAGGGCAGAACATGAGATCTCGGGCTGGGGCAGGGAGTGAGACAGAGCCACAGGCAGCTTGTCCAGGGGTCATGGGGGTGGTAAATCATTTTCCGCCACTGTGCGCACCCCTCAAGGGAGGTATGGGGGGCATGCACCCCCCAGATTTGTGTGCAGGGTGGATACATGCTGCTTGCTGTGGGCTCAGGGCTGTCTGCTTTGCCATCTTTCCCTCAGGAGCCCTGCACCAGCTGCACACGTCTTGCCCAGCCAGTAACAATGAAGGCAGTGAGTTGTGCCCCCAGCTGCCAGGCAGGCAGGGGACACGTGGCCAGCACAGGGCCCCTACGGCAAAGGCAGCAGAGTGGAGAGCCCCAAGCCCACAGCAGGCAGTCTGCATCCATCCTCACCCTGCTTGGCTCTGCTCTGGCTATGGAGGGAGAGCAGAGAGGACAAGTGGGCATGTGCCACCCCACCCCAAGCCTGGCTGGGTCCATTCAGCCTTCTCTGCAAGGCACAGAGGCCCACCCTGCCCTTGGCAGCAGCAGCACCAGGAGGGGAAGTGAATCCTTTCACCATGCAGGTGAGGAGTGGCATGATACATTCATGATATATTCATGATACATTCATGTCTATAATGGGGCACAGGGGGCTTCCAGTTATATGTTTGCCCAAGGCCCCGGGAGATCTTAATCTGCTACTGCTCTCACTATGCCTCTCCCACACAGTTTTTGTTATAGAGACCCATATGCAGCACACAG